ACACCTGACCTCACCTAACAACTAACGTCCTCCACTCCATCCCCCACAGCCATCTCCTCCGGCACCACCTTCCCCTCCCTCCTAGATTGTAAGCTCGAAAGAGCAGGGCCCTCGAACCCCTTGTGTATTGTATTGTTACTGTCTTGTCTCATGTTCTGTCCCCCTTGCTACTGTACAGCGCTGAGCAAACCCTTTGGCGCTATATACTGTATAATAATAATAATAATAATGTATACTAGTATATTATGAAATTACCTTGCAGGGGATTTTTATTTACTTATTTTTTCCTGTGGTTTACTACCACTTTAAGATGCCTTCTGTCCAACATCATTGTATAATTCTAGATGTGTATTTCAGGTGCTAGACTATGCGAATAAAAAGTTCTTCCAAACTTCCACATGGTGCCGAAAGTAATCATAGTAACATTTGCTGAGAACAGAGTTGAGCTTCAGCTCAATTATTGTGCTAATAGTCCCTGCTGCCCCTTTGTTTCTAAAAACACTGGGAGAAGTCCAGAGTACTTGGCCTTAATTACTGCTCTATAGGGAGGTGAGAAAAAAAAAAAAAAGCAGACTAATCACATGGCTGATAAAGGCCATTTGTCCACCCTGCCTTGCCATCACTTGGACTTTTGTTGCTGGCATACAATAAAATGAAAGTGCACACTTGTGGGAAAAGAATCGTAAAGCCTAAAAACTCATATTAACCTGCCAAACAAAAATGTCTGCAAAAGTTTTACTGCCCAATAATTTGCTGACTGAGCTTCACTTGCAGCAACTAGGCTGACTAGAGTTGGAGTAACCAGCTAGCTATCTGATCATCAGTAACAAATGTTACTGCACCAATGGTTTTTTTTAACGTAGTGGAAAATCTCTTTACAATTTATGACCAAAACCTGGCCATAGATGGAGCAATTTTCTTTCCAGCAAACACCGGTAGCAGAAAGAAAATCACTCGATTACCCTGTCAACACATTCAGCATTGATGTGGAAATTATTATTATTATTATACAGTGTTTATATAGCGCCAAAAGGTTTGCTCAGCGCTGTACATTAGCGTGGGGGACAGAACATGAGACAATACAGTAACAAAACAATATATAAGAGGGGTTCGAGGGCCCTGCTCTTTCGAGGAGGGAGGGGATGGTGGTACAGGAGGAAGTGGCTGTGGGGGATGGAGTGGTAGGAGGAGTGGAGGAGATCGGCTGTTACGTGAGGGTGGGGTAGGCTTCCCTGAAGAGATGGGTTTTCAGGGTGTGCCTGACGGTGAGGAGGGTAGGTGACAGTCTGATGGATTGGGGTAGAGAGTTCCAGAGGATGGGGGAAGTCCTGGAGAAGTCCTGCAGTTGGGCGTGGGAGGAGGAGACCAGGGAGCTAGAAAGTAGGAGGTCTTGTGAGGAGCGAAGAGCACGGGTAGGGTGGTATTTGGGTATCAGGTCGGTGAGGTAGTTTTGGGGCATTATTATGAATGGCTTTGTATGTCAGTGTTAGTAGTTTGAATTTAATGCTTTGGGCAATCGGAAGCCAGTGGAGGGAATGACAGAGGGGGGTGGCAGAAGCAGAGCGGTTGGTAAGGTGGATGTGTCTGGCCGCTGAGTTCAGGATAGACTGAAGCGGGGATAGCCTGTGTTGGGGTAGGCCAGTGAGAAGGGAGTTGCAGTAGTCCAGGCATGAGATAAGGGAGTGAACGAGTTGTTTAGTAGTGTCTGGGGTTAGGAACGTTCCCCTTTTGGGTGGAGCTCCGCTTTAAGCTGGCCACAAACTGACAAAATTTTTAACGGAAGTCTTAGGAAAATGAGTTTAAAATTTCTCAGAACATTCTTACAATTCTTTGTTGTTCCAAAAATTTCATTTGTCATTAACTTTTGATTTTGTAACAAAAGGACTTTACTGAATGAAAACCATATACACTGTTGGGAATTCATTTGCTAGAGGAAAAAATTTCCACCCTGCTTCTTTGAATTTTCCCCTCACTGCAGTCAAAAAACGAACGTTACTTTGAGCCACCAAGGCAGGCCATACATGATGTAATTTTTTTCCCCTAAACCATGGGTTGAAGAAAGAAACTCGCTTGATTCCCCCATCAACAGTTCACAGGGGGAATCCCTCCCATGAAGCTATTGTATTGTGACAGCGGGAGGTTCCCCCACTGTCAGAATACAATGATCACTGCTGCTGGCTATAGCCAGCAGCAATGGTTGTACAAACAAAAACCCGACAGGCTGGTTTGTACTGAAGTCAATTGATGGATGGACTCCAGTACAACCAGTCTGCCCATAGATGGATCAAAATTCAGCTAGTTTCTGTTGAACTGGATGAGTTTTGATCAGTGACTTAATTAATGACTTAAGGAATAGAAAAACTAACAAGAAAAAGAATGTTCTAAGAATGTTTAAAAATTTTCTTTCAAAACTCTACCCATCTATGGCTAGCTTTACTTTCTCTGTAGAAAAGGCAACTATTATATAGTCTTACAAAGGGCTAGGTAATGTCCCAAAGAAGTCAAGGAAAACCCAAGAACACATAACTGAAATGGGCTTTACTCTTCATACATAAAACTACCAGATTATATTTTCACTTGTAGATAAGAATGAGCAAATAGTCAAGCGGTAGCCATTTGGAAATTCTTAAAAAACTATTTCCAATAATTCATGAACACAAATATCCATATGCACAATTCACTATTTCAAATCACCGTGAATTTAGGCAAACTAAGGTTTAAAGAATCACTAATATGTGCAGAATAACATCTGCTTGGTTTTCTGTAAATTGATTTGTCTATTCCTAAACGTTTTGCATACTACACAGCCTTATATAGTGTTCCCCGGGGAGCTTACAATTTTATGGTATTGTGAAAACAATCAAGATGCACACCACCAAAAGATAATTTTGACTAAACACCAGTTAATTAGCTAGCACGTTTTTGGTTATGGAAGGAAACAGGAGCAAACCTCCACAAATATGGGATAGGATGGGAGGGGGAGGGAAACACAAAATCTCAATGCTGGCAGACCCTGGGTAGAAATCAAACATGGAACCCGCAAGTGTTAACATAAGACCAGAGGCGGACTGACCATTTGGAAACTCGGGCACTGCCCGAGGGCCCGGGGTCAGTAGGGGGCCCCATGAGATGCCCCTGGTACCTTTTTCATAGGCTTTTTTGAGTTTGGGCAAGGACACAGGGGCCCCATGATCCCCTATTGCCCAGGGGCCCCATGAGTTGTCAGTCCACCCCTGCGTAAGAGTGAAACCTAAACCAAATGATGTAACAAAAAAGACCCCCCATGATCACCGATAATAGAGGTCCCCTGCAACTAATCCAGAAGTGTTCAACATTATCTTCAAAAAAGAGACAACTTTAGTCACACGTGACGCCCAGCAAAAGCACAATGGCAGGGAAGCCATCCAATGCATCCCTGCACCCAATTCAACAAACTACAAAACAATGGCAACCACCCCAATCTATAACTAGCCTTTATAGCAAGGTGCACATGGAAAGGCAACACATCGCAAACAAAATATTTCCCAGCACACTTAGCAGCCAGCCTGAAAAACAACCAAATTCCCCTAACAGTTTATGCTAAAAACAGAGGGTTTTGTTTGCACACCTTTGCAAATACATGCATGAGCCGCAGTGCCCACGTCAAGGAACCTCTGGATATACTGCAACCCTAACTCTAATTTTTCACAGCCTCCATAGTAAGAGCACAAATATCAATGGACAGGTTAAGGGCCCTGCCCTTCCATTTGCACCTTGCTGTAAAGACCAGTTACAGGTTGTGATGGTTGCCATTCTTTTATACAGTTGGTTGAATTGGGTGCAAGGACACACTGGATGCCTTCGCTGCCAATGTGCTATTGCTGGGCCTTACATGTGTACCTGTGCCTTTAAGGAAGGATGGGCTCCCTCCAAGAAAACCTTCCCTCAATCTAACCACTGATATACAGTAAGGTCTATATATATTTGGACACAGACAGTTTTAGATTTTTTTCAGGTATTTACCAAAACATATTCAAGCTATAGTTATATAATGGATATGAGCTGACAGTGCACACTCTCAGGTTTAATTTGAGGGTATGTACATCCAAATTGGAGGAAGGGTTTAGGAATTACAGCTCTTAAGAGTAGCCATCCCCCCTTTTTCAAGGGACCAAAAGTAATTGGACAATTGAATATAATCATAAATAAAATGTTAATTTTGAATATTTTGTTGAGAATCCTTTATTGGCAATGACTGCCTGAAGTCTGGAACCCATGGACATTACCAAAGACTGGGATTCCTCCTTTCTGATGCTTTGCCAGGCTCTGACTGCAGCTGTCTTCAGTTGTTCTTTGTTTGTGGGTCTTTCTGCCTTTAGCTTTGCCTTCGGCAAGTGAAATGCATGCTCAATGGGGTTGAGATCAGGTGATTCACTTGGCCATTGCAGAATATTCCACTCTTTTTCCTTTAACCTCCTTGGCGGTATGATTCTTTCCGATTTTTTGTGCTGAAAGCGGTACCATTTTTTTGCATGGAAATATGTAGTTTTTTATTGTAGGCTGTAATTTTTAGGAATAACTCACTGAAATCTGTCCGAACAAGAGTCTATTAAACATTCCGGATACGATAAAATTTGAAACACGAAATCATAAATTATAATTTAATAAATAATCATAAAAAAAAATATAATAATAATAAATTTAATTCAATAATATAATCAAACCAAAAACACTGAAATTTGAAATACAGAGGCAAATTCGCACATCGCTGAGCAAAGTCGCAGAATCGTTTTCAGTGTCTGATGACGAATTTCCCCACGAATCATTATCACTCAATTCTGCAAGTGGTTCTGATTTACTATCGCTGCTCTAAAACCGCTTTTGACATAAAGGGACGCTTTTTGGACGCCATGGACATTTCTAAGTTTCCAGGCAGAAAGAACATTCAAAATGCAGGCAGGGAACAGGACAAAGCAGTAGGCACCAAATATATGTGAAATGCATTGAAACAGCAATGACAGCAAAAATTACATTTTTTAAAAAATTCAAATTACCCGCCGGTTCCGGCACCCGTACGTCCCGACGTCACAGGGACCGGAACACAGAAGTCGGATGCCAGCAAGGTAAGTGCTGCAGGGACCCCCAGAGCAACGCCGCATGGTAAGCCCGAGTGTAGCTCGGGGTTACCGCTCTTGGTATAGAAATTTTACCCCGAGCTACACTCGGGATTACCACTAAGGAGGTTAAAAGCTCCTGGGTTGCTTTTGCAGTGTGTTTTGGATCATTGTCCATCTGTACTGTGAAGCACCAGCCAATCAACTTTGCTGCATTTGGAGGAATCTGGGCTGATGGTATATCTCTATACACTGCAGAATTCATCTGACTGCTTCTGTCACATCATCAATAAACACCAATGACCCAGTGCCACTGGAAGCCATGCATGCCCATGCCAGCACTCTGCCACCACCATGTTTTACAGATGATGTTGTGTGCTTTGGATCATGAGCTGTCCCATGCCTTCTCCACACTTTTTTTTCTTCCCGTCATTCTGGTACAGATTAATCTTAGTTGCATCCGTCCAAAGAATGCTTTTCCAGAACTGGTCTGGCTTTTTTAGATTTTTTTTTGGCAAAGTATAATCCGGCTTTCCTATTCTTCAAGCTTATGAATGGTTTGCACCTTGTGGGGAACCCTCTGTATTTGCTCTCATGAAGTTTTCTCTTGATTGTAGACTTTGACAATGATACTCCCACCTCCTGGAGAGTGTCCTTCACTTGTCTGGATGTTGTGAATGGGTTTGTCTTTATCATAGAGAGGATCCTGCGATCATCCACCACTGTTGTCCTCCATGGACGTCCATGCCTTTTTATGTAGCTGAGCTCACCAGTGCGTTCTTCTTTCCTCAGAATGTACCAAACTGTTGATTTGGCTATTCCTAATATTGTTGCTGCCATCTCTCTGATGGATTTGTTTAGTTTTTGAAACCTTACAATGGTCTGTTTCACTTGCATGGACAGCTCCTTGGAATGTGTGATGTAGGTTCACAGCAATAGATTACAAATGCAAATACCACCCTTAGAGTCAACTCCCCACCTTTTACCTTTATAATTGATGAAGAAATAACAAAGGAGTAGCCAGGGGCGGACTGATAACTCATGGGGCCCCGGGCAATAGGGGATCATGGGGCCCGTGTCCTTGCCCAAACTCAAAAAAAGACTATGAAAAAGGTACCAGGGCATCTCATGGGGCCCCTACTGACCCCGGGCCCTCGGGCAGTGCCAGAGTTTCCAAATGGTCAGTCCGCCCCTGAGAGTAGCCCACACCTGGCCATGAAACCGCTTTTGATTCAATTGTCCAATTACTTTTGGTCCCTTGAAAAAGGAGGCGATGGTTACTCTTAAGAGCTGTAATTCCTAAACCCTTCCTCCAATTTGGATGTACATGCCCTCAAATTAAACCTGAGAGTTTGCACTTTCAGCCCATATCCACTATATAACTATAGCTTGAATATGTTTTGGTAAACACCTGAGAAAATACTAAAATTGCCCCTGTGTCCAAATATATACGGACCTAACTGTATGTGCTCCTATTATAGAGGCTCTGAAAATTAAGAATTAGGACCGCAGTATATAAAAAAGATTCCGTGACATGAGCACTGTGGCTTACATATATATTTGCATGTATTAGGCCCCTTTTTACATCAGCGGTCAGTTTCATTTTTCAGGTGGACCTGATCGGACCCTATATTCTGCTCTATGGAGCAGTGGGTGTAAATGGACTTGTGTCTGTTTACACCCGCCTACCTCCACTCTGATCTGCCAATAACAAACGAAAGGCGATCTGTTCCCCTCCGTCTGGGCAGATTGGATCGGAAGGGCAGTCGGGTGTAAACAGACAGCCTGTTCGTTTACATCCGACTGCCCACAGAGCAGAGCAGGCTGTGTATGTGGCCACTTTGCATAAGCGGAGCGAACAAGGACCTGTCATCTACCTGCTCTATTCTGCTCAGCGGGGGCTCAGCAGACAGATCCCCCACTGGGCAAGGGGAATCTGCCTAGTGTCTGCCCCATCTGAAAGGGGCCTAAAACTCCATGGATGCCCCTCGGCAGACAAAACCTTGGGGCTCCCTCGCAGGTTTCTGGTGCACACTCTCTAGTGGGATAACAGTGAACTAAGTAGTGTGCACATCGGTGCTAGATGCAGAGGACCATCACTACTGTACATTACACGTACATAGGTTGCACCAAATTTTTTTTACAAACTGACAGCTGAAAGAACATGAGCTCTGAAGAGACAAACTGTAATGTGAACCTGATGTCAATGGTTTATGTACTTTAGGTTGTTATTGGGTACATTACATTAATAATATTATTATACAGTATTTATAAAGCGCCGATAGTTCGCTCAGCACTGTACATTACAAAGGGGGACAGAACATGTGACAGAACAATACCAATACAATGCAAAACATGAGGGGATTGAGGGCCCTGCTCTTTGGAGCTACAATCTAGGAGGGAGGGGATGGTGGCACAGGAGGAGATAGCTGTGGGGATGGAGTGGTAGGAAAAGTGGAGGAGGTCGGCAGGTTAGCAGGGGGTGGGGTAGGCTTCCCTGAAGAGATGGGTTTTCAGCGTGCACCTAAAGGAGAGGAGAATAGGTGATAATCTGATGGATTGGGGCAGGGAGTTCCAGAGGATGGGTGACACCCTGGAGAAGTCCTGGAGGCGGGCATGGAGGAGGAGACCAGGGAACTAGAGAGGAGGTCTTGTGAGGAGCGGAGTGTGCGTGCTGGGTGGTACTTGGATATTAGGTCAGTGATGTAGTTCGGGGCAGTATGGTGGACAGCTTTGTACGTCAGTGTTAGGATTTTGAATTTGATCCGTTGCACAATCGGAAGCCAGTGGAGGGATTGGCAGAGGGGGTGGCGGAGATGGAGCGGTTGGAAAAGGTGAATGAGTCTGGCAGTCGTATTCAGGATGGACTGAAGCGGGGATAGCCTGTGGCGAGGCAGGCCAGTGAGGAGGGAGTTGCAGTAGTCGAGTCGTGATATGATGAGGGAGTGGATGAGCTGTTTAGTGGTTTCTGGGTTAGAAACGTGCGGATTTTGGCGATGTTGCGGAGGTGGAGTCTGCACGAGTTTGTTAAAAGATTGGACTTGGGGCTGGAAGGATAGGTTGGAGTCCAGAATGACACCAAGTACTCTGGCCTGCGGGGCGGGTTTGATGGTATCGTTGTTGGATGTTAATATAGTGAAATTATTTATTAAACACATTGAATACACTACAGCCCAATGTGAACCAACTTTCTTTCATCTCTTTCCCTAAGGAAAGATACTGCAAACTGTTCACAAAGCACTGATTTAAATAAGTATTTTGCATTTCCTTTACCACTTGTATACTAGTCACATGCATCAGTTTGGCAACAAATTTATGTGATCCAATCTAGATTTGTGGTCACATTTATGAATGTTTCCTTTTCAGCTCGCTAGTGCTATTTTTAAAAAATCCATCCAAGCCACAATCAGAATAACAACTGAAATAACAATAATTTTTTGATGATGTTTCTGTCCATATGATTTTTTTTACATGATCTAACAAAATAAAATTTGTATATTTACACACTAAAACCACATTGCAATGTAAGAAACATTTTCCAACCTGCCATTTCCTCCTTGTTTGGACTTCAAATGCTTTGATTATTAACAGATATGATCAACATTTTTAAATTACAATCGAAAGTCCAATCACTCTTTGGTAATCTATCCATTACATTTTTTTCAAGATCTAAAAGGTCAAATTGTTTAGTTACAGCACACACTACAATCACATTAAAATCAAACAAATATTTTCTTTTAGATTGTAAGCTCCACGAGCCGGGCCCTCACATTCCTTCTGTACTGAAATGTATTGTAATTGTACTGTCTCCCTTATATTGTAAAGCGCTGCACAAACTGATGGCGCTATATAAATCCTACATAAACATATATATATCTAAAACCATATATAAGGTGCAGCGCTATTATAGTAAAATGACATATATAACATATATAATAAAGTGCAAATGTCAAATCACACTGCGGTGAAGTTAAGCGAGATGAACAAGTCCCAAAATAGGTCAAACGTGGGGATCCAATAGATCCTAGTAGGTGCGTGGGGTGAGATTCTGTGTATCACACGGTGAATCTGAGGTAAAAATTGCGCACTCACCAGAAGTGCGTCAAAAAAATGCATGTAGGGTTTATCCTGTGGTATCAGATAGCGATCATCAATGGCCAAGATAGGGACAAGATCCTACACCTTCCAATAGCACCTTGGGTATATACTTCAAATTTCATAAGCGTGTCTCAAGCGTGTCACCATCCGGGGTCCCCTTTTAGAGCAGATTCTGCAAGTGGGATCTCATAGAAGAGAGCCCAATAAGGGACACCACATAGTGTGATACCATATAAACTGAGTTTATTTAAAGGTACAACATGTATAGTGAAGATAAAAATGCAAATGCAACACTGACCAGATATTTAATCAGGATGACCACCTGCGGGTGGTCAGACGTCCAGATACTGCAGCCCCCCTTTCTGCTCTAAAAGGGGACCCCGGATATATTGCCAAAAGTATTGGGCCCACTGCCTTTACACACACATGAACTTTAATGGCATCCCAGTCTTAGTCCGTAGGGTTCAATATTGAGTTGGCCCCGCCCTTTGCAGCTTATAACAGCTTCAACTCTTCTGGAAGGCCATCCACAAGGTTTAGGAGGGTGTCTATGGGAAGGTTTGACCATTCTTCCAGAAGCACATTTGTGAGGTCAGGTTTGATGTTTGGACGAGAAGGCCTGGCTCACAGTCTCCGCTCTAATTCATCCCAAAGGTGTTCTATGGGGTTGAGGTCAGGACTCTGTGCAGGCCAGTCAAGTTCCTCCACCCCAAACTGGCTCATCCATGTCTTTATGGACCCTTAAAGAAGGGGCCATCCCCAAACTGTTTAAAACAAAGTTGGGAGCATGAAATTGTCCAAAATGTCTTGGTATTGCTGATGCCTTAAGAGTTCCCTTCACTGGAACTAGGGGGCCAAGCCCCACACCATAATCCCCCCCTCCACCAAACTTTACACTTGGCACAATGCAGTCAGGCAGAGTACCGTTCTCCTGGCAACCGCCAAACCCAGACATGTCCATCGGATTGCCAGACAGAGAAGCGCGATTCATCACTCCAGAGAACATGTCTCCCCTGCTCTAGAGTCCAGTGGCGGCGTGCTTTACACCACTGCATCCAACGCTTTGCATTGCACTTGGTGATGTTAGGCTTGGATGCAGCTGCTTGGCCATGGAAACCCATTCCATGAAGCTCTCTACACACTGTTGTTGTGCTAAAACTGAAAGCCACAAGACGTTTGGAGGTCTTTAGCTATTGACGCTGCAGACATTTGGCGACTTTTCAACATGCACTGACCCCACTCTGTCATTTTTACTAGGCCTACCAGTTGCTGTTGTTCCCAGTTGCTTCCACTTTGTTATAATCCCACTAAACAGTTGAGCGTGGAATATTTAGTAGCCAGGAAATGTCACGGATGGACTTATTGCACAGGTGACAACCTATCACGGGACCACGCTTGGAGTCACTGAGCTCCTGAGAGCGACCCATTCTTTCACAAATATTTGTAGAAGCAGTCTGCATGCCTAGGGGCTTGATTGTATACACCTGTGGTGGCCATGGAGGGGATTGGAACACCTGAATCACATGATTTGGAGGGCTGGCCCAATACTTCTGGCAATATATATATATAAAAATTTTAATTTCCAGGCATGTCAGGAATTTATTCATGTAGATTTATAAAGTTACTGAAAAGTCCACTTTAAAGCAGAACTTCATCCCTGAGGGGAAGTTCTGCTTTTCTGTCCTTCCACATTCCTATTTAACTTTTTGGGCTTTTTTTCTGGGGAGTAGGTACTAGGTTTTGACAGTTGCCTTCTCTCTGGACCAAGCCCTGCAGCACATCTGCGCAGAAGGGCATTGAGAATTTCTTGCTTAGGTGAGAAGAGGAGGAAGTGCTGCTTTGCAGCACAAATAAAGTATGTTGTAAAAAAATGTCCATTAGTTAGAAGGGCAGCACAGTGGCTAAGTAGTTAGCACTTCTGCCTGGCAGCACTGGGTCGTTGTTCGAATCCCAACCACGGCACCACCTTCCTGGAGTTATGTTCTCCCTGTGCCTGCGTGGGTTTCCCCCGGGTACTCCGGTTTCCTCCCACACTCCAAAGACATGTTGGTAGGTTAATTTGCACCTGTCTAAATTGTCCCTAGTATGTGTATGTATGAATGTAAGTTAGGGATCTTAGATTGTACGCACCTTGAGGGGTTAGGGACTGATGTGAATGTACAATATATATGTAAAGCGCTGCGTAAATTGATGGCGCTATATAAGTACCTGAAAGGGAGGAGGTATGGCAGTTTAAGATATTACTGAGGGTGAAGGTCCCCTTTAGATTCTCTTGGCCGCAGCGTGGTGTGATGTGGTGGATTACATTGCACCGTGCTGCCCCTTTAAGTTTGCTCACTTCCAATCACTTTACGATCATAGCAATCAATCCTTGACCTGAACGCTAATTATACAAGTAGAAAACATTAAAAGAAAAAAAAAATCTTTCAATGCACAAAAAAATTACCATGGGTTTTAAGTTTATCAGTCATCTTGTTGATTTTACGCTCCAGCCTGGCGTATCTTGCAAACTCATCCATCATGCTAATATTGGAGAGCTCCTGTCTCATACTTTGAATGTCAGACCTCATGTGAGACTCCTGCTCAGCATCCTTCTGCAGTAACCTGGATACCTGAACACAAGAAGACAGTCTAAGAGGGAGAGAGAGAGAGAGCATGCAAGAAAAAAAAATCCCATCACTTCCACCCTGGAGTTTGTGAACAACTGTCTGCAAACAACAAATCACACTCCACATTGGTTACAATGTATAACTGTGTGCAGTCTGTGTATCTGAATGAGCTGTGTGGCAGGATGGTGGCAGAGCTGTTGTCCTTGGGAAGAGAGCACCCTCCATATTTGTAGAAAAAAAAAAAGAAAAGAAAAAAAGAAAATGGCACTTTGCTATCACAGGCTTAGGAAGTGAGTGATGCTGGGTGGACTTTGCCTGACCCCCCCCCCCCTGCAGATGGTCAGTGTAGATGGATCGGGGATTATTATTATTATATGTCACTCACACGATCTTTATTATTATTATTTAACCAAGTCATCCTAATAAGGATTTAGTTTCTGTAGCTCAGAAAAGGTTAACTAAGGTTAAAAAAAAAAAAAAGAATGGAGCAGTGATCAGGACATGGTCTGCCTCCACTAGAAAGACATAATCAGCTTAGGTCTGCATTAGATGTAGTACTAGGCATGCACACATACATATATATTATTTTTTAATTTCCAGGGCTGCATCTTTTCCTATCGATCTGTTGATTTTAGAAATATACCTCAGATGATTATATATTTTGGGGGGAATTATAGGGCTGCATCTCTAACTGATCTCTTTTAGAAATATATCATATATATTTTTATTTATTCCCCCCCCCCCCCCCAATGCTGCATCATTTTTTATCGATATTTTAGAAATGTGCTATATATATATATATATATATATATATTTTTTTTTTCTTTTCCAGGGCTGCATCTTTTGATAATGTCTATTTTTAGAAATATGCCTCTCTCTCTATATATATATATATATATATATATTCATTTCCAGGGTTACATTGTTTCCTATCAATCTTTTTTTAGAAATTTACTATATATATTGGGGGGGGGGGGGGGGGGATTCATTCTAGGGATGGGATGCTCCTCTTTCTAACTAATCTATTTTAGACATTTTTTTTTTTTAATTGTCTGGGTTTACTCTTTTTCTAATTGATCTCTTATCTTTAAAAACATTGCCCACATTTTTGGGAGGATTTCCAGGGTTGCATCTGATTCTGATCAATTGCTATTTTTAGAAATACCCCCATTTGTTTGTTCCCTGAGCCAGGTCTACCTCTTTTTAGACTAAATATGTATTTTATTTTTAATTCCCTGGACTACCTTTTTATTATATATGTGTCTTTAATTCCTTGTGCTCTTTTTATATTTATATTTTTCCCCCTGGATTGTCTCTTTTTATAATAAATACTGTGTATATATTTTTGTTTTTAATTCCCTGGACCACCTTTTTTATTATATCATTTTTTTAATTTCCTGGACTACCTCTTTTTATTAGGTATATATATATATATATATATATATAAATATATATATAAATAAAATGTGTTTTTAATTCCCTGGGCTGCCTCTTTCTATTATGTATATATATAATGTTTTTAATTCCCTGGACCACCTCTTTTTATTAGGTATATATATATATATTATATTTTAATAATATTCCCAATTCCCAGGGCTGCCTCTTTATATTTATATATATATATATATATATATATATAAAATGTGTTTTTAATTCCCTGGGCTGCCTCTTTCTCTGTCTTCTCTGTAGAAATGGCCGATCCTCTTCCTAGGGGTGGATAAGATGGGTCGGTTGGTGTATTTAGCCGGTTTACTTACAATCGAGGAAAAGGCAGGCAGCTGGATTTTAAAGAGATTGCACACAAACACGGTGCTGAGCACCACCAGCAGCCACGCACAGCTCTCCGCCATGTTTTTTTTTCCTCTCCCAGCCTGCGATCATCGCATCACAACACAATAGCAATCATGAAAGCCCCACCCCTCGGAACTGGCGAGAAGACCCAGGATGGGGGGGGGGAGTTAGACGGGACGAGGCGGGCGGACGAAGGGGCCGATCTCGGTGGGAAAAGTCGTGTCTTTGCCGGTTCCCTGTGATGCAGCTCACAGGAAGCGCGCGCGGCGGAAACCCCGGGATCCATTCGGATACATTTTTAGAAACATTGTATAGCGAAGCCCCTCCCACTTTGGAACGTTGAGCGCAAAAAAAAAATCCGCCTCTCTCCGCTCGCTCTGGGGAGCCCCTCCCACGTTGGAACGTTGAAGCTGAGAGCTCAGAGCGCTGTGGGCGGGGAAGCCGAGCGCGCCGGGCCAATCAGCGCACGCCCTTCTATTTACCACCAGTGATTCAAACAAGAACGTAAAAGGAGAGAGGAAAAAAAAACTTCCCAATGGAGGGAAAAAAAATAGCTAAAGCCGATTTACTAGGAGGGAGGGGAGGGGTTGAAGGGAGGAGGGGAGGAGTTTTGAGTGACAGGCCGGCTCGCCCAGACAGGTGCCGGTGTTATGGTTTGAAAGGCGCTCTTTAGCCGCGTTTGGCCAATAGGGATGGGCGGGGGCGGAGTTAGGGGGTCTCTCCGCCCACTCAGGTTGGAGCGGTGAATAGATAAGAGGGCGGAGGGATCCTATCCGGTTTGAACTAGTTCTCTGGCTGGCATATTAACCGCTTGCGAGCGCCGGGGACTGAGCTTAGTCTTTGTGAGGGACTCCATCTGCAGGAGGGGAAGGGATTCCTCCGCTGTCTGAGGCGCCTCCATTGGTTCCAGAGTTCTTGTCCTTTTTTTTTTAGGATTTTAATTTTTTTAACCCTTAATAAGCACAAAGACCACCATGCCGAAAAGAAAGGTAAGCCGACTCCGCGCGGTGCGTTACCGGACGGTAGCTCCCGGGGGGAGGAGGACGCGCGGATTTTTGGGTTTTGTTTTTTTTTTTTCAATTCCAGCGCCCCCCTCAGGACTCCCCGGGCGGGAAGGTGCACGAACGCACGGCTCCACTCTTATTTTGATTTTTTTTTTATTTTATCATAACGTTCGTTATGGTGTCTGGGGGGAGGGGGGGACCCACAAGCAATGGCGCGCTGTGGCGAAGAGCGGATCAGCTCTCCTTCCCCTCCTCCTCCGCTCGGCGGCGGGTTCTCCTCACAGCTTCCCCCGCGACAGGACGTTCTAGAACGTTCGTTGGTGAGCAGGAGGAGGGGAGGGTGAGGGGGAGATTTGCGGCTCCGGCCAATGGGAGAGAGCGCGCGCGGGAGCGCTGAGCTTTGTGACGTCACGTGTTCGGCGAGTCCCCCGTGTGTGTGGATGACCCTGGTTGGGGAGAAGAGGAGCTGGTGCCGCCATAGAGAGGGGGGCGGGGCCCGGGGCGCCATCCACAGCGCGGCTTCTTATTTGTTTATAAGGTAGATTACATTGTTAGCGCGCACACCCCCCGACTCTCCCGCCTTCCCCGCCCCCTCCTGCTTCCAGCGAGTCCTGTCTGCGCTGTGACGGAGCGGCCTCTCTTCCTCCCTCTAGCGCCCTCTGGTGACCGCTGTGATACTGGAGGACTGAGCTGTTACAGTGGAGTAGATTAGTAACTTCTCCAAGGTCAGCCCTGTGATGATGGCTCTCCTCTCCTTCCCAAAGCTGCAGCTCTTCTAATCCCTACTAGATTTAGGAACATGGATTTCCAGGGATTCCCTTTCTTTATAATCTTTTTGCATATCGCCGGTTTGCTTGCGATGGAGGAAAAGGCAGGAGGCTGGATCTTTAAAGGGATTGCATACCAACACGGTGCTGAGCGCCAGCAGCCGCGCACTGCTCTCCGCCATGATTCTTCCCTCTAATAAGTATTTTATGCTTTTTTTTTTTTTTTTTTTTTCTTTTTAGGTGAACGCTGCTGAGGCTGGAGATGCCAAGGATGAGGTATGGAGGCCACTGACTAGCCGGGATCTGTTGTAGCCGGGGTCTGTTATAAAATTGTAAAATCAGATTGTGTATATTTTAGTTTTCTCTCTGAACTTTTTTCTTAAGTGCTTGGTCTGATCTTGTACTTTTTTTTGTTGTTTTTTGTTTCTTTTATAACTTTTTATATTATCTTTCTTGCAGCCCAAGAGGAGGTCGGCACGGTTGTCAGCTGTAAGTATTGAAAGTAGCCTTGATGTATCTATAAAATACATTGGGGTTGATTTACTAAAGGCAACTATACTGTGCACTGCAAGTGCAGTTGCTCCAGAGCTTGGCAAATGAGGTGAAACTTCACTTTATATAACACTTTACAGTATTTATATAGCACCAACAGCTCAGCGCTGTACTTTACAATGGGAGACAATACAATACACAAGGGGTCCAAGGGCCCTGCTCCTTGGAGCTTACAATCTAGGAGGGAGCGGACAGATCCAATCACATGCAAGGAAGGGGGAGGAGAAAAACTTTTTTTTTTTTTTTATTGCATGTGATTGGATGATCAAAATCAGCAGAGCTTACCTTCATTTACTAAGATCTGGAGCAACTGCACTTGCAGTGCACAGTATATTTGCCTTTAGTAAATCAACCCCATTTTGTATTTTTAGTTTTGCTCAGAGGGAGGAGGGTTGGTCCCGCTGAAAGTTTTTTATTGTGGTCTGTGGCACAAATGGGGAGATCTACCGCTCTTTGTATTGGTGACTGTTACCTACAAAGTAAATAGAAATAACTTTAACTACACACTTTTGGGAACATGTTATATGTTCCACCCGTGTATGAGGTAGAACATGTAACCTGTTGCGGCAACTGCAGTATCCAAAGCCCTCAGCTCCCCAAAGCTGCAGGAGTCTGGCATTGCACCCCGATTCACTGTTTTCAGGTGCAGTGCTTTCCAAGCTCCTTGGGTAAACATAATGCATGCAAAAAATGTGCATGTGTTTTTTCAAAGGTGAACTTATCCTTTACAGCGCAGTTCCACTCACGATGTCGAGAAATAAGTCAGCAGCTACAAAAACTGTAGCTGCTGACTTTAAAAAAAAAAATAAACAGCCACTTACCTGTCCCTTGGTGTTTCCCCTGCAGCCCATTTCACCGGCCATCCTGTATTCCTGGAGGCCAGCATCTTCAGTGTGGGCACCCCGCTGTGACAGCTTGCGCCATCACAGCCGGGTACCCACTGCACATGCACGAGTAGCGCTTCCTGAATGGCCTCGTAATCTTCTGGGACCTGTCGCTTGTCCCAAAAGACTACAGGGAGGGAGGACACCTTCCGTTTCCGATTGCCTAGGCCAAGGGTAGGCAACTTTGCGGCTCTCTTAGCTGTTGTGGAACTACATTTCCCATGAGGCATTGCAACATTACAAAACTGACCAGTTACAGCTATAACTTGCAGAGGCATGATGGAACTTGTAGTCCTGCAACAGCTGGAGAGCCACAGGTTGCCTACCCCCTGGCCTAAGCAATGGGAGAGGGTACCTGTCAAATTTGAGTACCCCTCTCCCCTGCCCCCCCCCCCCAAAGGTGCCAATCCTTAATGGGGAGCAGTCCTTAAAGCAGAACTTCCACTTTTGGGTGGAGCTCCACTTTAATCTTCAAGTCCCAAAGGGAAAAACAGGCTCTCAAAGTGAGGGAGAACCCCTTAGACAGTGGGACTGATTTACTAAGGGAAAATGGGCTGTTGCTCTTTGCAAGGAAACTTGCAAGTGAATGTGGTTCCAAAAATATCTGATCACGTGCAAGGAAAGTAAAAAAAGCATTTTTGCTTGCACATGATATGTTGATGGCTGTCAGCAGAGCTTCAATTCATTCACCAAGCTATTGTAAAAAACTTGCAAAGTGCAACTTCCCTTACAGTTGCTTGTGCTCTCAATCAAACTAGTGAGCAATGAACTTCTGGTGACATAATTGCTCACATGTGCAGCACCATGCCAACCGCAGGTCAAACCGAGGTTAAGATGGCTCCTTCCCTGGCTGTAAAGGATAAGGAGGGTTTAGTCCTGCTTTTAAGCTATGTGAATTGGAAACCTGTAATTAATAAGCAGGTGTTAATCCCAATTTTGGCTGCAAAAGTGGACATTTCCCCAGTGGTGCACAGACAGCAAGTAACAATGGTTTTTCAGTGTTTATAAATGGTCTCTAGAGTTCTAAGAGGCTAACTTACAATCAGTGACCTTGCCTTAAGTCTTCCACTTGAAGATTGGATTATACAGATCTCCTTCACAGCACTGTTCTATAATAGTTGCTCTGGGGTACCGCACGCTCTTCATGAACCAGCTTTAGCCAGGACAACCTGACAGATTGGGGCTTCTTTACTGAGGCAGTTTTTAAATCTTCACAGAATAGTTGGGTGAAAGTTCACTTATCCAACCATGTGCAAAGCAACTGCCTGTTCCCTTCAATGCCCAGTCACAGGCTGAACCTTTTAAGTAACTGAGTTAGGAACCTCCACTCCTTTAGCAAATCGGGTGAGGCTGGTTCAAGAAGTGTAGTAACTCAGAGCAATGATTATAGTACAGGGCAGTGGAGTTTTGTATCTCAGTCTTCAAATGTGAGACTAGAAAAACAAGCTTGTCCAAAATAGTGTCGTAATAGTAACTTTCAACTAAAAGCAGAGTGCAGGACAAGTGTTTGTACAGGACCGGAATGAAGGAAAACTTGGGCTAGGATCCCATTTGTGTGTTATGGGGAATGCATGCAAAATTGCACACTAAACACACCCCCCCCCCCCCCCCCCCCCCCCCCCATAATGCATTGAAATGTGCAGCTCTTTGCAGATGCAGCGGTGCTGTTAACTTTAATGGCACCCTGTATATCTCACTAACATGTTTGTGCCCCAAATGCATGATAACTCGGTGCATATACCTTTTTTTTTTTTTTTTTTTTTTTTGTTTTTTTTTTTTTTTGTTTTTTTTTCTTTCAAGGCGTGATTTTTTTTTATTGCCCTACCCTAAACTTTATGAGCAGAAACGTGAAAAGCGTGCGGTCTCACCTGCTTGGATGTGAACAGAGCCTTAATCAGAAAGATCCAAGAATTTGTTTTAATGGCCCTATTGTGTTTTATAGTTAAACTGGAGGTTGCAGTCGTAGTACCAACTCTAGATGTAAATGTAATTGGCCGTTTGCCCTTGGCAATAGTCAAATATGACTTGTATTGGGAGCAGAACAATTGGTACAATAAAGTGTAGAAAGGAGTTGCCATAAGACCATCAATTGTGATCCACTTCCAGAAGTTGCACATCTATAGGAATGCTGATGCAACTCCTTGCAGAGGACCTGGTGTTCTGTTTAATGGAATCGTAGCAAAAAAGCACTTTGGGTACTTTATCCAGAATTTTTTTATTTTTTTTTTTCCCCTCAAAGTAGGAAAGTATTAGAACCTCTGCTTATGGCCGTGTCTGTCTATTTTCTGCTTTTTTCCTCTGGAGACTAAATATCACATGACAGAATTCCAAAACTTTGATTGTCGCAAGAGGGTGAGGTTAATTTTGAGAATCTGTTCCTGTAAAAGCGGAGGACTTGTCGTCTTTCCTTTCCACTTCCTGTTGCATCTAGGACAGGAAATGAAGGGAAATCCTATCTGGACACAGATTAGGAGAAAGTGTGGCAAAAAGTTTCTGACGCTAACTGGTGGGAGGACCTCTGATCAGGATAAATGGGAGACTTTATATTTGCTACCAGCTACTCGGGTGTAATTAAGTTAACGTTCGTGTTCCTAGCCTTCAATGTTTTGTGGATTTTGTTCAGTCATGGCATGTACAGTCCAGATTGGGTTTTAAAAATTACAATAAGAATTTTTTTTTTTTTTTTTTCTTCCTTTATAGAAACCAGCTCCTCCAAAGGCTGAACCAAAGCCAAAAAAGGAAAAAGCTGCAAAGGTAAATAAAAGTACTGCTGGAGGTTGATTATGATTTGTGCTATTCCTGTATTGTCAGTACAGCGATTGATTCTGTGGCAGTCAAAAACAGTTAAGTAGTTTAGATGACTGCCTAGGAACAAGTCATGTGATCTGCAGCGGGAGGATTGCAGTTGATTGGTCTGATCTGCAGTTTGGCCTAGATCATGTGACCATGCCTAGCTCTTTAAAGTAGTAGTAATGAAAGCAGCTGTGAGGAACGACCTGTGGCTGTGTAGGGAAGAAGGGACGTTGCAAGCACAAACTGATGTTTAAAAGTTCAGCTGTGGCTGTTAATTGCAGTCCAGTCACTATTACATGTGCCTATGGTTCATTGCATTGCAGTGTGCCAGGGCTCGTCTGATTGGCTGCCACGAGCAGTGGTTTGTATGACTTCATGTTAAAGGAATTTTACTCCCAACATTTAATCAATTTATGGATGGCAAAAAGCATTCAATATTAAGTCTGTCAATGGAAATGGAAGGTAAACTGATCAATGGGAGAAGCTGTTTACCTAGCCAGTAGAGTTCTGTGATTGGCTGGCTACTTTCAGAGACCGGTTGAATCCCTAATACTATACATAAGGCATCTCTAAGACTGAAGCTAGCAGAAATTGATGCCCTACTGCCATTTGTTACAAATTTTGGATTTTTTTTTTCTTTTTTTGCAATTTTTTTATTTTTTTATTTCTATAAAAAAGCTTAATGGACACTTGTACCTACAGGTAAGTTTGTAGTAAAGCTTACTTGTAGGTACAAGGACTAGCCTCTAAATAGGCACTGTTTAGGCGATATTCTGTGTCCCTGCAGCTGATGACAACACCAGCGAGTGCGCCCCGAAGGAACAGCATACCCGTGCCGTTCCTTCAGAGCTCTGCTGTGGTCGAGATGAGTGATGTCACTGTGGCTTGACCATTTAAGTGGTCAGCCCATGAAGATGGAAGCCCTGTCAGCGGTGAGAGCACACTGCTGGAGGCTTCATTCTAAGGTAAGTCTTTCATAATCTAGTATGCGATGCATACTGGCACTTTATGCAATTTTTCTGGGGAATTTTGTGGGGCCCTTGCATTTTACTACGCACTTTTTTTTGTAACATGTTATACCCATATTCAGGGTGTAATGTGTTATGTTTAGATCGGCCCCCGCTTTGACAGCTATTGGGGGATGTTCTCCCTTCATCCCCCCCCTCGCTAGCTGTTGAGTTTGTGCGGGGCTCCGCCCTCACAGCCGCGTCACTCATTCAGTCCTCTGTGAATAAGAATACAACTCCCGACCGGCTTTAGTGGCTGTCAGCTTGTAGTCTTCAATGAACTACCATGTCGCTGTGAAACTCTGTGGTAGTTCATTCATTCTTCCTGTAAAAAATATCTGCTTGCTCATTTTATCCCATACAGCAGATATCCTGACAGGTCTGCAGGGGACCTGCATGGCTTCAGCGATATACTGAAAGCTGGTGCGGTGCTTTCCAGGCTCCTGCAGACAATTTATACCTGCGAAAAAATTAATTTTGTTTCTAAAAGATGAACTTATCCTTTAAGACAGACTTGACTGCAAAGCAACTTAAACATAAGCTGTTACATTAGGCAGCATGACCTTAACCTCTTCATGCTGGCAGCACACAAATGTGCGGCCTCCCAGACGCCAAGCGACCGCACATTTGCATGCAATTAGTAAAAAATGTGCTGAGAGCACGCACCCTGCGCGCTCCCAGTACACGTCAGGTACTCATGGAAAGGTCCTGGTCTGCTCTTTCGATTGGGACCTTTCCCAATGATGTGACAGCTGTGATTTCATGGCGGTCACATGAGCCCTAAACCCCGCCTCCTGGCTTCTGAAACTCTTAAAGGGCCGGGAGGGCGCTGGCGGGAAGGGGTTAATGTAGCACTTAAATCACAATGTTTTGGGTGGTATTGCAGCAAAATCTGGAGTAGGAAAACTTGTGCTGTGGTATGAGATTACTGGAAATATGTCCAGATCAAACCAGGAAAAGGCAGAAAGTCTACCCCATTGACCGTACAGAAAACATCACACTATAAAAACTTCTCTCTACTAGTGTTGTATCATGGACAGCGAGAAGACCAGCATAGAAGGTGCAGAGCTACTGTTACTTATAAAAGCTATCCAACCAGATAATTCTCAGAAGTATCATTGCTGTCCAAATCCTGCCCCCCCCATGGCCAATTCCATTGACCAGGGTAATCCTTTCAATTGGGGATGTTTTATCCTCACGCTGCATCTTCTTGCCTTCATTCACAGCTGCAGTTAAATGTCTGCACAGCCCCATCATTCTATATAGCTATAACTATTTTCAGCTGCTATAGAGTCCTATCTGTTGTCTCGCAATCTTCACTGGCAGCCTATGCTATGACTTGTAGTTCTGGCTGATCTAGTTTGAAATAGGGGAAGCTGGTTCTACATAAGTAGAAGTAGAGACCTCTTGCTGCTAATGTAAAACACATTTTCATTGTGCCTTCTTTTCAGGAGAAGTCTGAAGACAAAAAAGTTCCAGCAAAGGGAAAGAAAGGTGCTAAAGGTAAACAGACTGAAGAGGCTAACAAAGAGGAGACTAAAGAGGATGTGCCATCTGAAAACGGAGAGACAAAGGATGATGAGGTTGGTGATGCTGAGTTTTCCAATCTTTAAAGACTTGACATGTTTTAAGCCTGGTTTCATGCTACATTTCACCGCAGTTCACATGCAATTCTGCACTGTGCAATTTTGAGCTTATTCATTTTTGAATGGGCTCAAATCACAAGTGCAGGCAACATTTTTAGCCACGCTGGAACCGGATCGCATGGTCACTTTGTAACCTGCAATCTGTCTATAGGGTGTCGTTAACTTTAAATTTACACCCGCAGCAGATCACAAAAAAGGTTTCCTGCACCGCATGTGTGTGAACCGGGGCTAAAGATGCCATTACAGTACCAAATCCTGACTGTTCTGTACTGTTGACACAAATGGTTTTAGTAAAGTGTTTCAGGTGCTGTCATGGCATTTGGTAGAAGCCAAACTTTCAAACCTGAAATGAATCCTAAAAAGTTTGTCATAACCCAGCCAAGCATGACTGGCCCCCCACTGTCGGTTATGACATTGTGATGTATTGTCAATTGAATGGGCGATTCCCCCCCCCCCCCCCCCCCCCCCCCCCCCCCCCCCCCTCCCCCCCCCACCCCCCCCCCCCCCCCTGGTTGTTGTGGACCAATTACTAAGGGTACTTCTGCAAGCTTGAAGTAAGTGGTTAATCTCACTTCTGTACAAACTGACATCAAAATGATGGTGCCACCCTTCAAACCAATCAATGGGTTGAATGGAAAGACCTGATTCTCCCATCCACACACTGTGGATGGGGGGTAATCATTCCTATTGTATTCTGACAGTAGGGAGCCTTCCTCCATTGTCAGAATACACTGATCAGTGCCACTGGTGGCACTGATCATTTGGTACAACCAGCCTGTCAGGGATTTGCCCGAAGTCCATTTGTATATCAACTTCTTTAAAACCAGCCATGCCTGTACATGGATCGAAATTTGGCCAGAGGAGAATGAAAAATGCTTAGAATAGTGTATATGTTGGCTTGACATGCGAGTTTTCAAGATATCTGATCCTTGGTCAAGCAATGATTCTAGACTAACCCCTACTAATCAGAATGTTCTAATGTCACATATAATAGAAATTTAGAGCCTCTATAGTGCCATTTTCCTTGACCGATCAGGGTTTCCAAATTATTTTTTCATAGAAATAGAATGAGCACTAGTTTCTGTTAGAAGTGGTTCCAGTTAATTTACTGATCACAATGGTGTGGGGTTTTTTTTGTTTTTTGTTTCCCCCCCCCCCCCCCCCCCCCAACTTTGAATATTTGACACTCATCGCCTGGGGTTTGCTTTCAGTTTAAAGCAGGATGGCCTTGTAGAATTCAAGCTCCATCACCTGATCTAGAATGCCATCGTACACACCTTGGTTCCTATTTACTGGCACTGAAAGCTGCCTAAGAGCCTGCTGAAACTACAGTAAGAGGTTCCTCCTTTTTCTGACCTTGCTAATGGAGCCACTTTAACTTGGGGATTATGTTCTAAGTGTCACACTGGCTTTTCTTGGTGAACATTGCATACATGCAGTTATCATAAGCCTCTTAAGTGTTGCTACATCCTATACATGCCCTGCTCTCCATAGTGCACTTGCTCAGGGCATACTGCCACTTGTAGACCCTTTTTGACACCACTTTGCAGGCATAACAAGTGAATGACAGGTTACATAAGTGTAAGGTGTCTTAGCAAGCTATTCTGGCTGGCTCAGTGTTCCCTGTTTGGCATATTGGATGCAAGCTGGGAATAGGTGATTTTTGTAGATTAAATTGATTCTAAGGGCATTTTATTTTTTTAAAAAACATGTCATACTTGCCTCCTCTGCAATCGTTATTGCACTGAGCAGCCATGATCCTCCTTTTCTCAGTGCCCCCAGAGCAAGCTGCTTGCTATGTGGGCACTCATGCAGGGTCAGTCTTAAGCTTGCTCTGCATGTCCATAAACAATGAGCTGCCCTGCCCCCCCAAATCATTGGCTTCAATGGCAGCAGGAGCCAATGGCTCCCACTGCTGCTTCTTTGTCTAGTGAGGAGAGAACTGTTGTGCTTGTACACATTACTGGATCAATATTGGTTCAGGTGACTTTGGGGGGAGCTGCATGCAGGCTTTTCACCTTTAAAGCAGAGCTTCCCCTTTTTTGGGTGGAGTTCCGTTTTAAGTCCTCTCTTCGAGATCCACAGAAGTTCTCCTCTTTCCCGCCATCACCACAGTCTTCTGGAATATGATGGGTCCCAGAAGACTGTGGGACCATTCACAAAGTACAGCGTGGTGGGTAGCCAGCTGTGAAGCCAAAGTCACATAGCCTGCTGCCCACAGTTAGGATACTGGTACTGGGAACCTGTAGGCTAGTGAAGAACCAGCCCATGTGAGGTCGATGTTGGATCCTGAACAAGGTGACTTTTTTTCGATTAGGTCAGCAGCTACAGGATTTGTAATGACTTAATGCATTTTATGCTTGAGGGTCACTCAAAGATAAAACCTTCTTCTGTCTTTAGAGCCACTTTAAGAATAGGTTTCCACAAAGGGCTTTGCATATGTTTACCTTGAATGGTGACTGGTTATCTTCAGTGTTTGTTTTTGTGACGCCATGAAAGTAACTTGTATTTATTTGTTCTAGGCCCCAGCATCCGATGGAGGAGACAAGGAATCGAAATCTGAATAACCTACATCTTGTTCCAAGTCTTTTATCAGTGGTTCCTGTACCTCCCTTGTACAATTCAGAGGAATATTTTTATCAACTATTTTGTAAATGCAAGTTTTTTAGTAGTTTAATTCTAGAAAACACATTTTTAAAATAGGAGGGAATCCCACCACGTCTTTTGTTCTAAATTGTTTTTATTTTTTATTACACGCTGGATGGAAAGCCCATTTTTTTAAAAAAGTATCAAGTGTGAAGTATTTACTGTGGAGCACAAAAAGGTTAATTCCATGGCTGTGTTGTGATGAGATGGTTCAAAGTAATTTTCACCTAATTTTGACCTATGCCCCATTGATCTTGCTTGCAGGCCAAGTCAGAAGGCAAGGCCTGGATTTTGGTCTGATTCACAGTTTTCAAGGGTTTTTTTTTTATGTCTTAACAGTTAAATTGTTCTCTGTACCCATATTGTCTTGCGTACAATTTTTACATCCTAATAAAAGTCCCCAGGTGATGGATTTCCCTCTGAAAAATTGTGTACTTATCTGTGATGTTACCATTTTTTCCTAATTTTTTTTTTTTTATTTTATTTTTTTTTGGGGTAGTGGTATTTTATTTTCAGTATCTGTGTAAAAGTGCTGTGAATCTTTTTGGAAAAACTTCGAGTGTGTAGTGAGTGTGATGTACTGGGAAGCTTAAAAAATAAAAGCGGTTAAAATGTCAACCACTTCACTCCCAGGGCGGCTGCATTTTTTAATTTTATTTTTGTTTGGTATCTATCCCATCATCTCCTTTTTACAGAGAATGGGTTAAGCTAACGGCATCAGATACTGGTACGAGGGGTGCTTTTTGTGTTTTTAATTTTATTTTATTTTTTTTTTTACAAAAATGCCAACTTGTCCTTTTTTTTTAAAGTTCAAGTTGGGAAAAGCCGCTAGGGTTTGTTTGGTTTCTGACTTTAATTTTGACTACATGTTTTTATTCCTAGATTTCCAATCTACTAGAGTTTAAGGAAAAACAATGTACAGATTGTTCATAGTGTCTGTGTACTGATCACCAAACCAATAAAACCTGGTTGAAAAAAGTTAAGTAACTTTTTGGGTTGTGAACTCTGATTTCTGAAACCTTTTTTAAAAGGAGTTAATTTTGCATTTGAAACTTCGCTGCATGAACGGAACGGTGCTATGTAGATGTGACTGATTTCGGTTTTGCTTGGTACAAAGTAAACTTAGAGGAAGGGAGGCGCTAGGCTATCAATTGGTAAGCTTTATTAGTTCAAAGTATAAAAACAATTCTACACAAGCAGCATATTTAACGGGCATATAAACCGCTCTGCGTGAAGCTGTCAGATATTAAAGTCCTGACTGGAGCTGCTGGTGCAGAGAACAGTGAAACCACCATAGGAACCTCAGGAACTGTCAAAAGGGCTTCAAGTGCCTATCCCATCAAGCTGAGAAAAGAGGTGGCTTGGCCTCTGAAATGCATTCCTGATGGGCTATGGCAACCAGGCACTTGACAGCTTGAGGTTCCTGCTGCAGTTTCACTGGATCTCTGCACTAGCTCCTGCATGGTCCCAGTGACTCGTCGGAACTTCTAAGGCTTCACACGGCTGATTATATGCCTGTTACATGTGATTGTGTTCATAATTTTGTTTTTATACTGTAATAAATCTTTACCCTATTGGCAGCCTGGTGCTTCTCTCCCCCTCCCTGACTCTTGCAGTACTCGGGTTCCTAGCCTGCTTAGTGAGGCAGCCAACTGATAGCTAGACACTAATTGGAATCCTATACCTGAAGGATTATTTATTTTAATTGTCATTTATTTTATACATCTAGTATATATGGTGGCAGTGTATTGTCCAGTAAATGAAATCACTTATGAAGATTATAATTACAGGTTAATGTAGCCCCCCACACACTATCCAACTTCAATTGTACGGATTTATCTATTAGAAAGTGTAGTGCTGATTTTTGATTATAAAGTAATCCCAGCATTAAAGTAATCCCAGCATCAATTCTCCAATGCCAGGGTTAAATGCTCTTCCCGCTCAGTAATGTGGAATACAGTGTATTAATTTGCTCCGGTGCTCTCCCTCTGAAGAGTTTTGGGCAGTCCTTTGCTTGCTTTGACTACAGTGCAAGGCTTAATCTTGCATTCGTACTTTGTGTGTGTGCAGCCTGAAGTACAGTTGATATAAAGTCTACACACCCGTTTTTTAAAATGTCAGATTTCTGTAATGTAAATGAGACAACTAAATTTCAGAACTTTTTTCACCTTTAATGTAACCTATAAACTGTACAACTCAGTTGAAACCACAAACTGAAATCTTTTAGGTGGCGGGAAGTAAAAATAAAATATGGTTGCACAAGTGTGCACACCCTAAACGAATACTTTGTTGAAGCACCTTTTTTTTGATTTTATTCCAGCGCTGTCTTTTGACTTATGAGTCCATCAGCATGGCACATCTGGACTTGGCAATATTTGCCCACTCTACCTTGCAAAAACACTCCAAATCTGTCAGATTGCGAGGGCATCTCTGTGCACAGCCCTCTTCAGATCACCCCACAGATTTTCAGTGGGATTCAGGTCTGGGCTCTGGCTGGGCCATCCCAAAACTTGAATCTTCTTCTGGTGAAGCCATTCCTTTGATATGGATGTATGCTTTGGTTTGTTACGCTGAAAGATGAAGTTCCTATTCATGTTCAGCTTTCTGGAGGTTTTGTGCCAATATTGACTGGTATTTGAAACTGTTCATTCCCTCTACCTTGACTAAGGCTCCAGCTGAAGAAAAAACATCCCCAAAGTCTGATGCTACCACCACCATGCTTCACTGTGGGTATGGTGTTCTTTTGGTGATGTGCAGTTTTTCTTTGCACCAAACATATCTTTTGGAATTCTGGCCAAAAAGTTCAACCTTTTTTTGTTTCATCAGACCATAACATTTTCCCACATGTATTTTTTTGCAAAATTTAGCCAAGCTTGGATGGTTTTTCTTCGTCTTGTCACTCTACCCCATAGCCCAGACATATGAAGAATACGGGAGGTTGTTTGTCACATGTACCACACAGCCAGTACTTGCCAGGCATTCCTGCAGCTGCTTTAAGTTTCAGCGCCACAAGCGGTAACCCTGAGTTACACTCGGGAATACCCTGCAGCATTGCTCTGGGATCCCTCCAGCACTTACCTTGTCCTGCGCTCCTACGATGTCCCTCCTGCAGTGTCCCCGGCCAAGTCCTCTGGCTGATACCGGCGTCCGTCTTCCAGGTTCCGTTCCCTGCGAGAGTCGGGACATACGGGGGGGGGACAGAACCGGCGGGAAATGTAAAAATGTGACACTCAATACACTAAAATCTGATAGTATTACATTACTGTATCAAACCATTTCACATACATTTTGTCCCGAGTGAGTGCTTTGTCCGGCGCCCTGCCTGCATTTTTACTGTTCTTTCTGCCTGGAAACTGAGAAATGTCCATGGTGTCCAAAAAGCGTTCCTTTTAAGTCAAAAGCGGTTTTAGACCGGCTAGAGAACAGCGATAATAAATCAGAACCACTTGCAGAATTGAGTGATAATGATTTGTGGGGGAAATTCCTCATCAGACACTGAAAACGATTCTGCGACTTTGCTCAGCGATGTGTGAACTTGGCGCTATATTTCAAATTTCAGGGTTTTGGTTTGATTACGTTATTGAATTAAATTTTTTATGATTTTTGTTTCAAATTTTATAAACCCTGGGATGTTTACTAGACTCTTGTTTGGACAGATTTCAGTGAGTTATTCCTAAGAATTACAGGCCTACAATAAAAAAAATAAAAATTTCCATGCAAATAAAGTACTGCTTTCAGCACAGAAATCCTGACAATCAGACCTCTAGGGAAGTTAATGTTGCTGTAGGCCTCTTGGCAGCTTCCCAGACCAGTTTTCTTCTAGTATTTTCATCCATTTTGGGTGGACATCCAGTTCTTGGTAATGTCACTGTTGCACCATATTTTCTTCACTGTGTTCCATGGTATATCTACTGCCTTGGAAATTGTTTTGTACCTTCTGACTGATACTGTTTAACAATGTGATCTCTGATGCTCTGGAAGCTCTCTGCTGACCATGGCTTTTGCTGTAGGATGTGACTAAGGGCTCTTTCACACTTGACTGTTTTTCCAACTCTTGCCAAATGCCTCCTACAGCGTTGGTCTGGCGTTTGCAGATAGCTTTAAACGCTGTGCAAATGCTGCATGTGCGGTTTAGCAGCAGTTGCCAAGTGTTAAATGCCCCACAAACGCCTATAATGAAGCTTGAATGGTGTTAACGCACTGCAAACACTGGGCGTTTAAGGCGCAGCACCATAGACTTGAATAGGAGGCTTCAACTTCTCCTGACTTAACCAGAGGCATCCGTTTTGCCGCAACTTGACTCTAATGCTCCCGCTTGAACAGCACCATGTGCTGCAATGCGCAGAATTTTCCCAGGCGTTTGGGAAGCTTTTTAACAGTTTCCCAAACGCCTGTCTGCCGCTTGCTAACAAGGCTAGTGTGAACGTAGCCTAATGCAGGCCATAGATGGGTCGAAAATCAGCCGATTTTTTTTTTTTTTTTTTTTTTTTTTTTTTTTTTTTTTTTTAACTAAAAATCGGTCGTTCAAGCGGCCGACGTTACCAGCAACAGTAAAAAAAAATCGGCCGATTTTTCATCCCAACTACAGCCGGCAAAAAGTCTCTCTGCAGAGAACTCCGCTATTTCTTTGACAGTTCCTTGACATTTATAGCGGTTGCAACAATGTATCTATTTGTATCCATTTCGGATACAGATGTTTTTATTCGGAAACAAATAGATACAATGTTGCAACCGCTATAAATGTCAAAGAAATAGTGGAGCTCTATGCAGGGACACTTTTTGCCTGACTAGAATTCTTCTCCAATTTGCCCATCATTGCCGATTTAAAAAAAAAAAAAAAAAAAAAAATCGGCCAATTTTCGACCCATCTATGGCCTGCATGAGCAAATGTCAGGAAAGGCCTGCTAGAACAGCTGAACTT